GATCATTATGTTTTTATGATCGTTGAAAACCCAAATCGTAATCAAGATAAAAAACTTATTAATCACCCAGCCCTAACGTGAAGTCTGTAATTTTGACACAATTTGGAACAGATTTTATTTAGAGCAAATCTTTCCCACTAAACTGATCATGTGACCAGGACAGAAGGGWKTCCAGGGGATTAATCATTATCGGCCAAATACCACAATTAATCATGATTATATATTTTGCCAATATTGCCCAACCCTAATACTGTTTATATTTGCCCTTTATGATATTTACATTATGAACATTGCTAGAAATGACCTAATTTGAGCCTTGGAACATGATTCTGTCATGACTGTTTTTGTCAATTTCCTGCACAGTTTCTTATTTTTTTATTGCCTTGCACAGTATATTTTAAATTATTGTTATTCTATTATTATTACAATTATTGATATTGCTGCATAGCAATATATTATTGTGAATTGATGTATCTGCTGCTGCTGTTACCTGAATTTCTCCACTGCAGGACAATAAATACTGTTTTTTCTATTCTCTGTTCTACTTTTGCATTGGATTTTGTGAAGTTTTACTCGTTTTTAGGATACAAGATGCTTCCTACAAAACCAGAATGTGAATYTTTTCCTAAAATTTCATAGCGATACCTTGAAAACTGAGGAAGTTATGAGGAACAGTTGAGAACAAGAAGGTGAAATAAAAAGGCTCCACTGGTTCTATGAGCTGATTTCACCGAAATAACTTCCTTCATACTTCAGATAATTTGTTATTTTGTAGGTTTGTAATGTTCCTTTTGAATCTGCAGTCAGATTTAATATTATTGAGGGATAAAAATGTATCACATCCTTACTGTAAGGCTGTGGCAGCTGGAGAGTGTAGCCAAACAGCTTAAACATCTTAACTGATGTTTTTATCTCTCTAAACAAACACTGACAGTGTTTGACTGATTCTCCTCTGCTGCTGCAGAAATAAACACTTTTCACTCAGCGTTAGGTCAGCCTCCTCACCTGCTGTGTAAGGATGAATGTGTGGTTTCCAGCGGATCTCCAGCAGTCTGCGCTGACTGTCGATCACCTCCTCGTACTGGACGATGGTTTTTTCAAACTCTGTGAATATTTCTTCAGCAGCAGCAGTTAGTCTCTCGCTGATAAACTCTCTCAGAGACTGAACTGAAGACATTGTTACTGCACACACTCAAACATTCACCTCACNTTCTTCAGCAGCAGCAGTTAGTCTCTCGCTGATAAACTCTCTCAGAGACTGAACTGAAGACATTGTTACTGCACACACTCAAACATTCACCTCACCCGCTTCAAAACGACCCAGAAACCGCGATCTGCGGGAGCTAACTATGCTAACGGAGTTAGCAGGTCTCCTACTTCCGGTGGTGTCACACTGAGAAGCTCCGACTTCCGCTTTAATTAGAACTGAAATAAAACCCAACATTTTCTCAAAAACTTTATTAAACAAGATGTTTACAAAAATAAACAAAAACCTATTAAAACACAAAAACAAACAGAAAAATATTAGTTAAAGAACATTAAGAACCTTTTAAGTCCAACATTGTCCAGGAAGAAAGATGTAATAAATAAATAAAAAAGCGGGGTTAGGGGTTGATGTACACTTAAGGAACATATGACATAAAAAAAGAGATTTGTGTCTGAATAATAAGATTTAAAATTGGTTTATTAAATGTTTTGTGTTGGCATTAAACGGACCACCGTTGTGTAGCTGTTCTACTTAATTTCATCTTAAAAGTTTGTCGCCACTGTAGCCTCTAAATAAAACTTGTTCCTGATTCTGCAACAACTCCTTCTTTATTTCAATTTCTGAGAAACTAAATATTATTAAACTACTTCCTTCAAAGCATGGCTCTTTTTGAGGAGCTGTCACAATATAACCCAACATGTCCCTCTGTGGTCCTGTTTTTAAGACCACGTGATCCATAATGACACATTAAGTTAGACTTATACCAAGTCAGAATGACCTCCTGATGTTAGAAGATAATTTAATTATTGCTGTAAAGGTTTGGGAACAGTTTTACTTTTGATCAAATTAACTCATAAATAAAAGCAAATGCATCACATTCATTTTTTTATTCCCAATAAATAAAAAATACAACAATCAGGTTTTTGACATTGTTTAGCTGTAAAAATCTACCAGTTACTGAATTTCTAGATTTAGTTTCTGTGATCCAGATTCAGACGTTTCTTGTTTGTTTTWAACTAATTTAATGGATGTTTGTTCTGTAGATTCTATAAAACAACAGAAACTTCAGCACCAGGTATTTATTTAGTCATTCTCTAAACCCCAGAAAGAAAAAAAAACCTAGAACTGCTAAACAAGAATAAAGTTTCTTTGGTGCTAAATAAAAGTAAAAAATTAAAATAAAATACAACTCAGCATTTAACAGAACTCAGACATAACATAAAACTTATAATTCTTACTCCTGCTTCACTCYAAATATATAAAGTTAGTTTGAACACATGAATCTGTTGACTGCTGTCCTGCACGTTTTACTGGTTTCCTGTTTCAATACATCTGACCCAATGACTGAATCGCCTCCTCAGGTTCTGCAGAACCCAGTTAATCACCTGTTTGTTCTCGTCAGGTAAGTTGGAGCAGAGRAACCTCTGGAACATGTAGAACAGTGGTTTTCCAGGCCTGGACAGCTCGGATGCATCCTACTGATAACTACATTACCCACAATGCTCCAGTCTTTAAAAATCTACATTTTTATAAAAGTATTCATGAATTCAGTTGTAATTAGTTATTTTAATGTTGTTTTACTTTGCAGACAAGCCTCTCTCTGCTGTTTTACATTTACAGACTTTAACTTCTCAACTCTGAGTTTCATCAAAGCAAAAGTCTGAGAGTTTCTAAGATCTGTGAGTCCTCATGTGTCGGCTCAAATTAGACTTTTGGGAGAAACCCCTTCCACAGGTCTGACAGGAGTAAGGTCTCTCCCCTGTGTGAGTTCTTTTGTGTTTGTTTAAAACCACTCTGGTGATGAAGCCGTTTCCACACGTCTCACAGAAGAACGGCTTCACGCCGGCGTGAGACCTGCTGTGGATTATCAGGTTTCCTGTCTGAGAGAAACGTTTTCCACAAGTTTGACACAGAAATGGTTTCTCTCCCGTGTGAGTCCTCATGTGGGACATTAGTGTTTTTCTTTCGCTGAAACATTTCTTACAGGTCTGACATGGAAACGGCCGCTCACCTGTGTGAGTCCTCGTGTGGATTTTTAATGTTTTTCTGTAACCGTAAGTTTTCCCACAGGTCTGACAGGAGAAGGATCTCCTTCCTGTAGGAGAGGCTGTGTCTGTCTTTACTTCTGAAGTGTCCAAACTCTCTCTCTGACAGCTGGTGTCATGTGAACCTTTATGGGTTTGTTTAGGTTTTTTATTGCTGTTGCATCCTGTACCTTGTCTCCAGCCAGCCTCCTGATCCTGGTTCTTGGCTCCAGGAGGGTTCTGACCAAAACTAGGATCCATGTTTGGTTCTGGTTTCATGTAGCCTCTTTCAGGATCCAACATAAACTTATCAGTCTGCTGCTGTTTATCCTGTCGGACACAAAGTTCTTTTTCTTTGTTGACATGTGGACGCTCTGGTTCCTTCTGAGGACATCTTGGTTTCTTCTGAGGACGTTCTGTTTCCTCCTGAGGACGTTCTGGTTCCTTCATAGGACGTTTTGGTTCCTTCAGAGGATGTTCTGGTTCCTTCAGAGGATGTTCTGGTTCCTCCTGAGGACATTTTGGTTCCCTCTGAGGATGTCTTGGTTCCTTCAGAGGATGTCTTGGTTCCTTCAGAGGACGTCTTGGTTCCTTCAGAGGACGTCTTGGTTCCTTCAGAGGACATTTTGGTTCCTTCTGAGGACATCTTGGTTCCTTCAGAGGACGTCTTGGTTCCTTCAGAGGACATTTTGGTTCCTTCAGAGGACGTCTTGGTTCCTTCAGAGGACGTCTTGGTTCCTTCAGAGGACATTTTGGTTCCTTCAGAGGACGTCTTGGTTCCATCTGAGGACGTCTTGGTTCCTCCTGAGGACGTTCTGGTTCCTCCTGAGGACGTTCTGTTTCCTCCTGAGGACATTTTGGTTCCTTCAGAGGACATTTTGGTTCCTTCAGAGGACATTTTGGTTCCTTCTGAGGACGTCTTGGTTCCTTCTGAGGACATCTTGGTTCCTCCTGAGGACGTTCTGGTTCCTCCTGAGGACGTTCTGTTTCCTCCTGAGGACATTTTGGTTCCTTCAGAGGACATTTTGGTTCCTTCAGAGGACATTTTGGTTCCTCCTGAGGACGTCTTGGTTCCTTCTGAGGACATCTTGGTTCCTCCTGAGGACGTTCTGTTTCCTCCTGAGGACGTTCTGGTT